AGATACATACTGAAGACATCAAATATATAGATCAAGATATATGTGATTATGTAGCAAAGAAAAGTAAATAACTGCAAATATGTTTTATATTTTAGATCTGCCAGAGTTGCCACCCTTTGCTTTGTTGACAGCGCTGCAAACCCTTCTCTAAATGAGCTTCATGATGTAGTCACCTGAAATGGTTTTCACTTCACAGGTGTGCCTTGTCAGGGTTCATTGGTGGAATTTCTTGCCTTATTACACAGTTTACAGCCTTATTTGACAACCGTCAGATTATAGCATATTATGGCAAGAACCAATCAACTAAGTAAAGAACTGAAGGTCAGTCAGTCTGGAAAATTGCTAAAACTTTAAATGTGCAGTCACCAAAATCATCAAGTGCTACGATGAAACTGGCTCACATGAGGACCGCCCCAGGAAAAGAGGACCAGTTCCAGTAGGAGACACAATCTCTACATCAACTGTTCAGAGGAGACGGCGCGAATCAAGCCCTTATGGTCAAACAGCTGCTAAGAAACCACTACTAAGGAAAAGCAAGAAGTAGTAAAGATTTGTTTGGGACAAGAAACTCAAGGAATGGACATTAGACAAGTGGAAATCTGTGCTTTGGTCCGATGAGTCCAAATTTGAGATCTATGGTTCCACGTGCCTTGTCTTTGTGTGATGCAGAAAAGGTGAACGGATGGTCTCTACATGCATGGTTCCCACCCTGAAGCTTGAAAGAGCAGGTATGATGGTTTGGGGGTGCTTTGCTGGTGACACTGTTGGGGATTTATTCAAAATTGAATTGACATGTATATCATAGCATCCTGCAGCGACATGCCATCCTATCCGGTTTACTTTTAGTTGGACCACCACTTATTTTTCAACAGGACAATGACCCCAAGGGCTATTTGACCAAAAAGGAGAGTGATGGAGTGCTGCAACAGATGGCCTGGCCTCCACAGTCATCTGACCTAAACCCAGTCGAGATGGTTTGGGATGAGATGGACCTCAGAGTGAAGGCAAAAGGGCCAACAAGTGTTGGGGACTCCTTAAAGACTGTTGGAAAACCATTTCAGGCGACTACCTCATGAAGCTCATTAAAAGAATGCCAAGAGCATACAAAGCAACAATCAAAGCAAAGGGTGGCTATTTTGAAGAATCAAAAATATAAAAGATGCTTTGAGTTACTTCACACTTTTTTTTGTTTTGTAATAAATCCATATGTGTTCATTCATAGTTTTGATGCCGGGAGTGAGCATCTACACCGTAAATAGTCATGAAAATAAAGAAAAAACATTAAATAAAAAGTCGTGTCTAACCTTTTAACTGGTAGTGTACATAGAATAGCATGTCACTAGTCAGCTAGTCACTAAATTCTGATAGAGACCCAGTCATTTTGTTCTGGAAGCAGGCCTGACATGACAGAAATTGCTCAGTTCATAAAATTTTCTGAAATTTTCATGAAATTTTAGGAGATCAGGCTTGGTAGTTTTTGCATACAAAAGATATCCCTGTCTGTCAGTCGCATATATGGATATCATATTGTCACTAGCCCTGCTCATGCAGGTAGCCCCATTTGCCTCATTGGAACCCTTGACATGTACTTTAAGTACACTTACAGAAACCCACAGCACCTTCTTGACTTTTAAACACGAGGGACCGTCAGCTGGAAGGGGGTGTTGGGTGTCAGTGGCCCAGTTGTGTCATAGAAGACCAGACCTGGACAGAGGACGATGCGTGAGCTTATATGGCGGCACTGTCACACACAAACTTTTACAAGAGCCTGGGTTATGCACGCGTCACCAACCAGGATGTTAATCCACACCACCGACACGCACGACTCTGTTTAATGTTTGAGACAAAACCATACAAGAAGTGAAGGTCTGACCCTATTAAATTCCAAAAAGTAAAGTTTGCATCTGTCTGTGTGTTAGAGAGAGCACCACGGGATGGGTTTGTGGACCATAAAAGGACCACACACACGTTCATTTTGACATTTGCTTATCTTCTGCATGGGCATGCCTCACGCAGCGAGGGTCATTCAAACACAACGCACACATATAATGCACAGAAGTGAAACAGACTGACAGCTCTGGAAAGTGTCCTGAAGTTTCTCTTTGTGTGTCTGTTTTGTCTGAAACTGTGTTTATGCTTGCAGGAATTCCAGAAGTTGCTCCAACTCCAGTGTACCAACCTCAGTACAGCATAGGTAGGTCTGATGTATGGCAGTCCTGGAGAAATGCTTTGCATCAATGTGATGAAGCTCCTTGAATTATTTTTTTAAGCAGACAATCATTCATAGACAAAAACGGAGAAGAAGGCAAGTCTGGAAAATTGTATCCTGAAAGACAGTTTTATACAGAAAGTAACTTTATAACTTTTTATAACTTTAAACCTTTAAACTAATCTATTAACTAAACTTCTGGTACTTAAATATATTAAACCAATATCTAATTTTTCTACTGTAAAATTTTCTGCCTGCTGTAACCTGCCATAATAACTTATGATATCCGAATGCCTCATGCAGGAAATTGTGTAACTGACAACAAGATTTGATTGAGTAATAACAATAAAGTTTTTCCCTTTTCTATCCTCTCCCCCGCTGATGTCACCGCAGCATTTAGATTTATGGCTTTTTTGTGCGATCATATATCAGATCTCCTCTGAAGGCGTGCCACATATTTTTTAACAGATCAGTCCTTGAATTGAAACTGCTCTGGGAGCTGCTGCTCACTCTCTCCACGGAGTGGCTAACCACTCCCTCCTAGCGGCGGCTCGAAGAATGTCCCACCTGCTGCAGTTGGGATCATCTGTTAGTCAAAGGATACTGTGATGACAAATAGAAGCAGCCATATTGTAATTAGGGGAAAAGACATGTGCTGATATGCTTGCTATGAAATGATATCCACCCTCATTTGACGATTCTCTCTCCCTCTCCCCCCTCTGCTTGTCTCTCATGTAGCGGAGGAGTGCGTTTCATACTGCCAGCCTTCTCAGGTTAAAGTCAAGATGAACTTGGAGACCTATTGTCGAAAGAACTATGGTTAGTGGCCATTTTTCTGTTTTAACCACTATATATTTTTTATTATATTATTAAATATAATTTAACAATTATAGTGTTTCCTGCTATCCATATTTGATATGAGCATCCACAGTGTATGTATGACAGAAAATAGAAAAGTATAACCAGTCTTTAAATTATTTATTCAAATGAATCAAATCTAAATTGTAACAAATATTTAAATTGTGGACCAAAAGAATCTATCAAAAATACTATTTTTTTTTTTTTACTATGTTGTGCCTGTGTTTGTTAGTGCTGAAGGTGCAGGTGAAAGGTATGGAGCGCTCAGGTCCCTGGTGGCAGTTTTCCATCTTGGTGCAAGTCGTCTTCCGCACTGGGTCCCACGCCCGCATTCGCAGGGGCTCTCAGTCCCTTTGGGTCCCTGACCGCGACCTTGGCTGCGGCTGCCCCGCCCTCCAGGTGGGTCGGACAGTCCTCCTGATCGGAGCAGATGAAGGAGAGCAGCCCTGGGTGCCAGAGGAGAAGCGCCTGGTGGCAGATCGCTCTACTCTAGCCCCCCAGTGGCAGGAACACTGGAGCCCCAAACTCAGGGCTTTCCGGGGGCAGGACAAGAGGGGCCGCTGTCCACCAAAACAGGCAAACAACCACCAGCGCTACAGGGAAAACCCAAAACCTCAGTCTGGTTATGTCCCCCCTCACTTGCTGACTGAGAAAGATGTCGAGCCTCACGCTGCAAACACACACAAGACTGAAAGCACAGAAGTGCCGCACATGTTCAAAGTTAAATCCACTGAGGCGACACTACCCTCTTCTTCTTCACCCAATCCAATATGTTCTACTCAAAACCCTTCATGAAAACTTTAACAGTGAGAAGATTTAAAGACTCAAATTCTATTATATTGAAATTCTCAAAAAACAGAAGAACTACAAGGAGTAAAATGTACATTATTCCATTTTTTTGTCAGTGGACTTGACAATCAGGTGAGAAGAAAGCTCAAAGAAACCCTTCAACACCGAAACACATACCCACCTTTAGGTTTATGTACATTCTTAAGAGGTTAATTATTGCATAATGAGTTTTGCAGCAACATAAAGTGGTATCACTCAGTGATGATGAATCTGTGAGACTAAAATGGTGAAATGTAAAATGTAAGTATCATTATTTTAATATTTCTACTAAGGAAACTTCTGAAAATTAAAGTCTGACTGAACTTTGAAAAATGTCAATTAGCATTTTGTCTTGAAAACTTAAAAAGAAAATCTATATTTAGATCATATTTATTTATTGAATTTTTTAAGCTAAAGTGAAAATATTACAATAAATGACATCATAAAACTTTTTACAATAGTAATTAACATAATGACAAATGGTTTAGTTAATGTGCAAAAATGTGATTTTTGTTTTACTAGTAAATATTTTATTGTAAATTGCCCATTATACCATGTTAGACTTTATTTTTAATTCACATGTAAATTTGGGAAAAGCAAATACTAAAAAGTCTCTGAAGCAATTTCACTAAATTAAAATAACCAAACAAAGTTGAAAGTCATGTAGCTCACATGGATAATTACAACAGAATGTGTCTGTTATGTAAAACCATGCTGGAGACTGCAAATTTGCATTTATTATAAATAACTAATATTTACTATTACATTGATGCTGTAGTTTTACAGTTTAAACCTAAAACTTTCAAAACTAAACAGAATAATTAATACATTATTTATTTATTTTGCTGAACTACTTACATTTGTTCCCCTTTAATCAACTTGAAATATTTGCAGAATATGTATATCCCACGTAAAAGTATAATTTCAGTGTATTTATTTTTGTTATTTCTGTCTGATATGGACATCAGTTAAAATAGCCTTCATAACGTGTTGCTCAGATTGTGTTTTTTTTACCTTCATGTAAGAAAAACAAAGCTGTGACACCACGAGTGCATTGGGCAGCCGGGTTAGCACAGACAAGATATTATTATATTATTAAATTCCTTTTTTAAATTTGACAAATATCTTTACTCTTGCCTGTCTAAAATAATGAAATTAAAAAACTGAAAACTGAAATTTTTCATTTAGGCTAATTCAATTTAGACAAAGAAAACTCATTGATTTTTAAATTAAAACATTTAAATAAGAACACTTTATTATGTATGTACATATAGTACATTTCAATTCTAAAAATGTAAAAAAAATTGCTTTAATTTTCTTTATGAGTTTCTTTCTTTCTTTTCGCATGCATTTCAGTAGTGGGAGACGAAAAACCTCACTGCGCTCACACCTTTAATTCAAACTGTACAATGTTTGATGAAAAGAGACTTTATCTACAATCTGTTCCCTCACTGGACAGCTGACACAAAGACCAAACTAACTTAACCTCATTTTCTAGGAATCCTCAGATACACCATAAGGAGCCCAGATACGGATCTAAAAAACATCGGTCCAACCTGTCGTCATGACTTCTGTTTCCATTTGGGAGATATCGCGTCATAGCCCAGGGGAAATGGGGGGTGGTTGGAGGTTATGAAGACAGATGGAAGAGTTCCTATTTGTTGAGCAGCCACCTTGTTTTGGTGGGACCTGTGTCAGCGATTGGCTGTGCAGCTGTGGTGAAGGCTATGATTGAAAATAAAGAGAGAAAAATAGACTCGCTGACTGATGACCTCGCAGCGGGACTGAACATACAGTACACCGAAGAGTGTGTGAGACTGTTTTGGGGCCTCTTTTCCTTTTCTTATGAGGTCCAAACATCCGTGCAACCAGCTGGCAGCTTACCATGCTAATTATGCTTCCAAACAAGCTGCTCAGATGTCTTTATACAGTAACCCAACATGCAGCATGTTTTCTGTACACTGTCTTTAATCATTTACCAGAAAAAAAACATAGACTTAGTTTTATACTTATTCAAATACAAACTCTTTTTTAACCACTTAGGGTGACCTTTGTAAGAAATCAGTCAGATTTAAGTGCACATTCACAATTCTGTACCTTAAATATCTCATTTTGACGGATCTATATTCATCACACATATTCTTCAACACCTTAAACTCAGTAAATGGAATGACAACAATACTATAAATATTACATGAAAACAGCCAAAAACGTCAGAAATACAAAAAGAGAAAATTTTAATAAAATTTAATGTAATCATCTTTGGCATTTTTACTGGCCTATAGTTTACTTTTTCAAAAAATGTGTGTTTATTCAGACCATTCATCTAAGTGTCTTTGACTAATACTTTGATGCTAGCTGGTGATAAAGAAACTCTCAAACGATACATATAAATGTTAATTACACAATATGTGTGGATATGTGTACTGTGTGTACTATGTAAAGTGTTTCAGATATAAACCGTAAAGAGATGTAATGTATGGACCATCTTTTTAGCATCTTTCAGCTCACTGTTTTGTTTTTAAGGCGTTCAATATACTGTTTTGGTTCACTTTCACTACTCTAATTAGCACGCTTTCAACAGCAGGCAGCTGTTTTCAGTTTAAAAAAATTCAAAACACAGCTGTACACTACCAGGAAAACAGCAGACAGAAAAACTTTGGCAATTAACTGGCAAACACAGTGGATCATTTAGTAGCTAAAAACAGATATTGTCCTCAGGAGTTGGTGGAGACCAAAATATAGCTACAAGTAGAGTGATTATCAGGTGGATGCAAACACACTGCAAGTAATTTCTTGGTATTCTGTGTTTTTCAAAATCCAGTGAAAGTGATAAATAACTCATGTCAGGTTTGTGTTTCCAGCTTGCAAACAACAACAAATTGTAGCAAAAACCATCCAATGTCACGTTTTCATTTTGGCAGCTAAAAACAAGAAAAGGAGTTTCTGCACCCTGAAACACCAAACAACCCAAAACGAGAAGGGCACGGCTGTAAAAGTTAACAGTGCGTAACACACAAATTATGTGTGTGTGTCAGAGGAAAAAAGTGCAAGTCAACACATGCACAATCATGTCTCGGTGTGTGTGCGTGTGTGTGTGAAGCACCTGCTGCGTTGCTGCAGGAAGCACCTGTCAGCAGTCGTCTCCGCGGTGCAGCCCCTGTCGACATGAGGGTTTGATCCCAAAACTCCCCAAACACACACACTTACACCGACACTAACAGACAACTTAAGCCAGTGGCTCGCTCTGCAGCAGGGGCTTCGCATAGTCTGCGGCTTTGCTCCAGTTAAACTGACAACATGTTCTTTTCTGAAGCGCTGTGGATGGGGGTAGGCTCCCTGTTTTGGTGGCATGTGGGGAAAAAAGGAGATCAGATTCTTCTTCTGCAGAACGGGAAGCAGCAGTGTGTGTGTTTGTGAGCGTGTGGTATTATGTTTACAGCCTGCCGAGGGCACGTTTTACGAGAGGTGATTCCTCCTGTGTTGCAGCCAGAGCCAAAGTTCAACTAGACTTCTTGCAAACACACCAATTTGCTTTGTCCTCAAAAACATACACACACATTTAACACTATTCTCATCCCGTCTACACACACACTCCAAATTGTTGCCTCGCACCCAAGAGCTTAAGTCCAAGTTCAGAAAGTCACACTGTTTTCAGGATGCACACACACAAAGACACGGGGGCTTCTGTTAACCTGAGAGGCAGAGGGTCAATCCCTGTGATCCTGCAGCCTACATGCCTTCCATACAGACATGCCGCCGACACCGCAACCCGACTCCCGGCCAGATTAGGACTAATCAAGCATGGCACAGCTCAGGGCAGCAACGGCATGACACACACATGTAGACAAACACATGGATATACTGTACTACAAACATGTGCCAACCCTTCCTCTTTAAAATTTCTGATCAAGTATTTGCCAAAAATATGACCACAGAGAGAAAAATTATTTCTTGCATCAAGTATCATTATTAACAGTGCATGCAACATTTTATAATGTGGATTTTGCTCCTTGTTTCGGTTTCAGTCTGTTAAATTTCCTGGCAGTTTTTGATAGTTCAGGTTTTATAGGGTTAATGCTTTCCTACAGAACATAAAATGTCTGAAAATACACAAATTCCACACCAGTGAGAGTCTATCCCTCAGAAAACGCGGCTGCTGAATTGAAAGGTCTAATTTAATGTCCAGGTTTGTCTTCCTTCACTTATTTTTGGCACCATGTAACAAATGTGCATGACAGTCTTCCAGAAGTGAATAGGAAACACCCGCAAACAAAGAATGAGCAGCTGCTTTGTACTCTGACACTTTTATATACTCTCCAGATTCACTTCTGTAACTCAACAAGTTGTTGTTGATGTGACTCTTGTGCATTTCTGACATCTGAGGAACTGAAGATCCAGTGGATTACTTTTATTTTTGACATCCCAACAACAGCAGAAAATTCTTAGTGATTGCATGAGGGGCAGCTGATGCTACCAGTAGCAGGCCGGAGCAACACTGCATGGAGAAAAGTCTCGATAATCGAGTCCCATTGCAACAGCTAAGCACCTATCTATGCTGTCTGCCTTTACAAACATTCGAGAAAGAATGAGCCATTTGAATATGAGCAACAAGTCAGTTTGTGAAATTCTTCCTTAGTACACATTTCATGATCAGCCATGAGTGGTTTGATTGCAAAGTGAAAGTGTTTAGGAACCACAGCAACTCAACCATGAAGTTGTAGAGCAGGGTCACCGGGTGACTGGGTGACTGGAGCTCCAAACCTCATCTGTCCTTAACATCAGCACAAAAAGTCTGCACCGGGAGTCATGGTTTCCATGGCTGAGCAGGTCCTGTTGGTGTAATGTGCACTTTTTTTCCACACAATATTTGTGTAATCTGTAGTGTGCACAATCAGAGTCTTTGATACGAGTTTGAAACCAAATAAAAAAAAATATGACTGTCTTCATGTTGTGTTTTTCTTTTTTTTTCTTTTTTGCAACTGCCATTTTTGAAAGAATTTTCTCTCTAAAGGAGAGGGGCTTACAAGACTAATAGTCTATTTAAAGCAACCTGGATGTACACCAAGATTTTACAGGTTCTTCTTTTGCCTGTCAACCACGTCTCCACTTATTTTAATGAAATTCAGATTGGTTTTCCAACAAGCGTTGTGTTACATAGTAACTTCTGCAGGATTTTCTCTTTGTTCCTGCTCTGGGTTAGATCCTGCTTTAACTCTATCCAGCTGAACTCTGAGGTTGTTATCCTTTATGTCTTAAACAGCCTTGACTGCGCTCTTACAGGTCAGGTACTTAATTAATGCCTCATCAATCAGAGCAGGCTGGTCTTTGGAGAATGGCTGCATTAAAGCAAACCAGAAGATTTTCGAGTGCTGCAACAACTTATAGTGTAAAAAAAAAAGTGTATTTCTTGCACTATGAAAGCACATAAAGCTATTCTGGTAGATCCCAAAATGACATTTTAAACCTTTAAATGTATTTAAGAGGAGTGAACTCATAGGTTTAATATGCAGAGCATACATGCGCGTCTGTATAATGTTTTTGCATGAGACCGTGAGGACCTGCCGTCACGTGGCTACAGCTTGACTTTTCCCATTAAAGTTTTCCCACCAGTCGCAGGTGTGGACCGGTCGTCTGGTCCCTGTTTGGCCACAAATGTCTGGGATGTGTCAGGCCGTCCTAAGCTCTGCTCCCTTTGTAGTCTGCAATGGGAGGCTCGTTTTGTCTTTGTAGTCATTAAGCAGAACCTTATTTTGGCAGCCACCGTGTTAGAGGGGACAGGTGATTTATAGCGGAGGGAGCAACAGGGTGATCCCTGCCATTCGTTTCTTTTTTGGGAGGGATGGGGGCTCATTCTGGATGTTTTTATGGCGTCTAAACACACTCTACAGTCTATTAGTACCCTGTGCGCAGGACTCGGAGTCCAGGATTAGCGATCAAAAGACTGATGGCGGGGGCACTGGGGTAAAAGGTTGGAGGTAACATTAGCCCGGCCTGCCCAGGTGGCGTGGCTGGAAAGAGACTCCCATATGTGGTGTAGATGGGTCAAACGTGGGCTGTGTGTGTGTGTGGGTGGAGGCTTCCAGCATGCTGTATGTGGAGCCTGTGTGTGCATGACTTTTATGGAGCATACTGAACTCCGTCTAGTTGGATCTGAACCATAACCGATTAGATTTCAGGCTCAGAGTGGTGACCGCTGACCTTCTTACAAATGAAATGTGGTTGATTTTTCCGCAGCCACATCTCACCTTCACAGCACTTGGTGTGCCACTGCAATCTACTTCACTTACTCTGAAAAAAACCTACTTAAAATCACCCTTT